TAACGAAAAATCCAGCTTTTACCTATTTGGGATTAATATGTGGCTATATAATTATTGATTAAATAGGATTATTGTATCATTATTTATGATCATCATCATCATCATTATTTAGCTGTGAAATAATAGAAATTGAAAATTTATACTGAATGCTTTCTGTTGTCTTAAATGTAGTTTTWAATGTCTAATCCTCTATGACACAGCAGTGATTTTCCATTGTATTTATCTATAATGAAATATTTATGAATGCATACCTCTTTAAAGAATTGCTTTCCAACAGCATTCACATACTCATCAGTGATGTCACAACCAATAACCTTACCATCGKCTGGAATACTCAAAGCAAAGCTCAGGGTATTGTAACCAGTGTAAACACCTTAAAATGTATACAAAAAGGATTACAAGAAGATTTAACATTTTTACTAGTGTATATTTCAGCCTTARTCCAAAGACCATCGACGGCATACTGAACTACATGAATAATTACAATTATTATTTGTAATTTGTATTTGTAATTATCCATGTAGTTCARTATGCCATCAATGACAAAATATCAACCTAAAAAATACCTAAAAATTTAGGTATAAAATTATAAAAAAAGYAAGGAACCTCTCAAGTAAATGTTTTTCATTGTTCCCAGCAGGAATTCTAACTTTTTAGTAATTCTGGAAAGGAATTTAAGAGTGAGTATCACAAGCCACTTATCAAGAGATTCAGTGATATTCAGACTATCTCAGTTGAATATCTGCATTCTATGGTTCTTTTCAAAAACAAGTATTTTCTTTTTAAAGTTGGAAATTTGCAAACTAACGTTATGTTAAATTTAATATTAACTACATACCCACTTCAAGAACTTTTTTTGCCTTCATTTGCTGTAGCAAGACCCTAAAAAGCTGTGACTGTACAGTATCTCCAAGCATTATTGCTTTTTTGTTCAATTCAATTGTTGCCTGTAGAAAAAAATGTGTTTTGCTAGTAAGTATGATTAAATAGTATGTGGTAGAGCAAGGGAAAAATTGAAATTAGTACAAAAAAAATGTTGATTTTTTTCCACCGCCATACATATATCTTTCAGTTTCTYGTCACCCGACTGACTCTAATTTTTCAAAATAAAAAAACAAATAAAAAACAATAAAATGATTATAGGTAAAATAAACAAAATTGTTACGAAAAATGTCAAATAAAACAAGAAAATTGGTTTAGAAATAATAGAATAAGTAAGCCAATGTTTTACGATATTGTTCATAATTTGTTAAAATCAAGTTAACCCATGCTACATCTTCTTTTTGGTGATTTTAAATTCCATAATTAATAATAGACACATTCATTTTAGTTTTTTTCATTTTTTTATTTTTCCATTTGCCCGATGCATCCATGGGAGATGCTCAGTGACAGGAAACAAAAAAATATATTAGGATCAAACAAAAAATAAAAGACTTATTAAAGAAATCCAATATCTTTTAATGTAATATGCTCCATTTAAAATAATAATTGAATTTGCAATATTATAGTCATTTTCCAAATCTGGGAAGACAAAAATTAAGAAATATAAATCGGCACGCATGTCTCTATCCTCTGATATAAACACAGTGGGAGTTCGAAAAACACGAGAGAAGCAAGCTTAGGAACACGAGCGTAGCAAGTGTTTCTCTTGCTTTTCAAGTGTTTTTCAACTCCCATCATGTTTATATCAGAGGACAGAGACGTGCGCGTGCCATTTTATATTTCTTTTATAAAATTTTTCGAGCGAAAAGAAAATTTTGCTGGTAAGCCGTGTCTCTGTCCTCTGATATAA